TAAATGCTGTTACCGAAACATCACACACTATTTATTTTTTGAATTTGGTCTTATTACCTTGTGTTTATAATCTATAATCTAAATTGTGCTTTATCATTTTAACAATGTTACTTACACTTACACAGGATGCATTGTTTAAATCATACCCTGCTCCATATTGTTGCTCTGTTACAGAAATTGAGTCAAACCCTGTGCTAAAGCGTACTCTCAACTTCACCACTTCTGGAGGCAAGGAAATTGTCTACAATCCCCTCGGTGCCAAGATTACTCCTTGTGGGCCAAATACAGGTGGGTGTCTCCCTAGAGTATCCTGAATTATATATGGGGAGTCGATGGAAAGGTGATCTAAACCGATGGTTTTCGACTCCTACGACCCGGAATCAAATCCTGCATTGTTCACTTTTTTCTAATTAAAAAATGCTCCAATGGCCCTCAAACTTGCAAAAGTCCAACCCTACCAGCGATTGCAAATAACCAAACAGAGCTCTGGCACATTTGTAAATCAAAGTGAAACTGCTTTTCACATGTATTGACATGTGGTGTACTTACAGTAAAAAGCAGTCGCCTACTTCTACCCACCATTATTATAATGGCCTGTATGGTATGTACTAGGGATAAGTAAAAAAAGTGTAGTCCGGGCTTGAGACCAGCAAAGGCGGAATTCTGAAATATTTAAAAGAGGGAAAACTTTGTTAAATTTTAATTCTAGTCATTTAATATGTTCGTTCATTTCTGGGAATATTTTTAAAATTCTTCATTGCTTCATTTTAAAGCTATCAACTTATTTTTATGGAATACCAGATGATCACTCTGCCACAAATAGTTGTGTCTCTTCTTTTGATTATATGCAAATTCTATTCTATGATCTATTCTAGACCATCATGGCCACATGACATTCCGTACACTTGAGTGGAGTCAGTGTATACAAAATTTCTGAGTTCTAGGTGCTCTGTGGGTATATTCAAAATTTGCCACAAGAATTGTGGACAGAAAGACATGTAAGCAAGTTATGAAAATTCAAAACTATTTTAGACGCGTAAGATTCTTTTTGAAATTAAACAATTTCTACTGCCCTTACTGCAATGGAAAAATTAATGGGAGGGCCTGGCTCATCAGTGGTGAACCCCCCCAGCTGTTTCGCCAGTTTAATCTACCATACCACTGTTATATTGCATTTTTTTTTATCTTCCTTTTATAGTGATACTGTTGGTAGACTCTTAGAATGGGTATTTTAGATGAACTATGGACATAAGCTTTGAGGACAGCAGAATTAAATATAATTATTAATATATAATATGCTTTGAGCAATTACTCTTCCGCAAATATCAAATTGGAATATGGAATACAATATGGAAACAAGTTAAAAGGTTTTAAAAAAGACACATCTCTCATCTAAATCCACATAAAAGCTATGCACCTTCTGTGACTGCAAGCTATATGACTTGGGTCCGTGACATTGTGACAATGTTATCTTTGGAAAATTCAAAACATCAAGACACAGACCATCAAGAGGGGTTATAAAACAAAAATATAATGTAAAAAGAAACCTGGCTTTAGCATAAGTGTATAATATGATACATTGTCGAACTGATTTTCACTTGTGTAGACATGTGGGCAACTTAAGTAAAAGCAGTCGCCTACTTCTACCCACCATGATTATCATGGCCTGTACCACGTGTACTAGGGATAAGCAAAAAATAATGATAAAAAATAATTAAAAAATATGATACATTAGTGAGCTATCTATTATGAGAATTATAAACTATTATAGATGTGTATGATTCTTTTGAAAATTTAATAATTTCTACTGCCCTTACTGCAATTAAAAATTAATGGGAGGGCCTGGCTCATCAGTGGTGAACCCTCCAAGCGGTTTCGCCAGTTTAATCTACCACTATGGTAGATGGCATCTATCTCACACACACACACACACACAAGCCTTTTTATTGGGGCATCCAGCCCTATACATGATTCCCCTCTACAGGATTTAGCAAAGGAAGATATTTCAAAAGTAAAAACTAGAATACAAGAGGTAATAAGGAAAAAGAAAAGAGAGAAGAAAGAAAAAAAAACAAAAAAGAATATAACCATATATACAAAAAATAAACATACAGAGCAAAAGGAACCATACAGGATTAAATATTTAAATTAAAGTACCAATGTTTAGGATATGTCAAGGTTAGGATATCATTGAGAGGGCCAGTGTGGAATCAGCCGCGTTCAATCTTCGCCTTCTTCCTCCAAGCAAACCACGACATTCGGCGAATCCATTATTCTCCAACGGACATTGACTGCTGCCTTGTAGAATTTATATAAACCGAGGGAGAGACCCTGATCAACCATCAGTGTGTTCATCCAGCTGCAAATTTGTTGGCAGTCAGGTTGAGACCAGGGTAAGTCACCCAAAATTTCTTTCCTCTGTTTCTCTAAGCAAGAGCATCCAAATATTATATGCATAATTTCGTCTTGGATTCTGTTTTTACACAGATCGCAAGTTAGAGTCAAATCAATCTTCCAGCGCTTTGAACGATTTTCTGGGAGATGGCATCTATCTTCTTTCTTATCTCCACTCAATCATATTAGGGTATCAAGTTGTGACCTTTGATGGTGTTTGACATCCATCATGACTGGGTGAAGTAGAATGTCTGCCTTTGTCATTAAGACCTGGAGCACTACTCAGTGGCAGGTCGACTTAGCTCCAAAAGAAATGGCCGTCTCTGACATGAGGAACAGACGCCATGTACAGCTGCTCCTAACATGGAGTACAGACTCATCCTGTATCCCTGGAGTACTTACAGGGTACTATCAGCATGGCCAGCTGAGCCCAGGTTTTTTAGTGAGCTTGTTACTGCTCCCCCTCCTCCTTTTTCACCTGGGACCGGCAAAAGTGGAGTTACCACTATGGTAGATGGCATCTATGATAGTTTTGAATTTTCATAATTGTATAAAATGCTTGCATGAATTCTTCACCTAGATTCCATGTGTGGTGCAGCTGTCTGCCTACTGGATCCCAAGGTTGGGGTGTACAAGTCAGTGGGTCAGGCTCCTCCCACCATCTCACGGCCCCACCATGGAGAGGGACTTATCTCCCTCACGTACAGCAACGGCGGCCCCTGCAGCCAGGGCAACATGTCCTCCATAGTCCACCTCCTCTGTGGCTCCTCCTCCCACATCTTGTTGGGGGGTGTGGGGCTCGATGGCTGTACTCACACCTTCCTCTGGTACTCCCCAGACTTCTGTCATTCCAAGGTACTGTTGGACCTTATTGTAAACTATCTTTTTTTTTTTTTGCTTATCCCTAGTACACGTGGTACAGACCATGATAATCATGGTGGGTAGTTAGTGACTGCTTTTTACTGAAGTGCACCACATGTCTACACATGTGAAAAGCAGTTCGACTTTGCACTTACAAATGTGCCAGAGCCCCGTTTGGTTACTTGCACTCGCTGGTAGGGTCAGACTTTTGCAAGAATCGGGGGCCATTTTTTTTTTTTAACAGAAAAAAGTGCCCAATGCGGGAATCGAACCCGGGTCGTAGCGTTCGAAAACCAACGGTTTAGACCATCCCTCCACCGACCCCCCTGTAAACTATCTTAAATTATAATTTGGTCTTCTTCTTTCTTATCTCCACTCAATCATATTAGGGTATCAAGCTTGTAAAGTTTGAGATCATGACTGGGTGAAGTAGAATGCCTTTGTCATTAAGACTGGGAGCACTACTCAGTGGCAGGCCGACTTAGCTCCAGAAGAAATGGCCGCCTCTGACATGAGGAACAGATGCTATGTACAGCCACTCCTAACACGGAGTACAAACTCATCCTGTATCCCTGGAGCCCTTACAGGGTACTATCAGCCAGGCCAGCTGAGCCCAGGTTTTAGCGAGCTTGTTACTGCTCCCCCTCCTCCTTTTTCATCCGGGCTTGGGACCGTCAAAGGCGGAGTTTGGTGTTGTTTCTTATCCCCTACTCTTACCTCCTTTCTTGTAATTTATCAACCAGATCTCGGTACAATTTCACTTTTGTGATATTTTTCATATAGTCTGGTGTCCTCATCTTCTTCTTCTTCTTTCTTATCTCCACTCAATCACACTAAAGTATCATGCTTGTAAAGCTTTAGATTTTTGCTGGTGTCTGCCGGGGATGAGTAGAGCTCATCAATGGATGAGTCAATACAGTCAATAATATGTCTTGGGGTTGCAGGCTGAGAATGTGGTGTCCTCATGCCGACCTTAAATACCCATTATTCCTTTTTTTTTTTTAAGGAAGCCTCAAAGACCAGTTTTTTTTATTCCTTGAGGTACAGCTTGCACCACGCTGATGAAGGCCAACAGCCTGAAACGCTCTTCTTGAATGAATGGGGGCCAATTCTGGAATAATTAAACTTGTAACAAAACACCGCCATAAGTTTCTTGGTTTATTTAAATGATTTTTTTTACTTATCCCTAGTACACGTGGTACAGGCCATGATAATCATGGTGGGTAGTTAGCGACTGCTTTTACTGTAAGTGCACCACATGCTTACACATGTGAAAAGCAGTTTGCACTTACAAATTTAAAGGATACATCCAGCAGGATGTGTACTCCTGTAGGAAGGGTTTGTTATACCCTTGAGAGATCGTTTTGATAAAATAAGAAACTTGTTACAATTTATTTTCACAGGATTCAATCTTTCAATAATTAAAATACATTAATTAGTTGATATTTAATCCAACAGATGTCCACAACTCTCAATTTATTACAAATCACGGAAATTTTAGAAGCTTTTTTTTTTTTTGCTTATCCCTAGTACACGTGGTATAGGCCATGATAATCATGGTGGGTAGTTAGCGACTGCTTTTTCTGTAAGTACACCACATGTCTACACATGTGAAAAGCAGTTCGACTTTGCACTTACAAATGTGCCAGAGCCCCGTTTGGTTACTTGCACTCGCTGGTGGGGTTGGACTTTTGCAAGAATCGGGGGCCATTGGAGCATTTTTTTTTTTTTTTAAACAGAAAAAGTGTCCAATGCGGGAATCGAACCCGGGTCCTAGTGGTCGAAAACCAAATGGTTTAACCAGCAGTTTAACCCCTAAAAGAAGCTTTTTAAAATTCATCAAAGCAGTGCAAGATTCAAGATGCTTCTGTGGATGTGAGGAACAGACTTCTATTCATCTGCTGCTAAATTGCCCCGTCTTCCAAGAGTATAGAATAAACAATGGATTAAATGTATCAAATCAAACCCGTTTGATCTAATTTCAACAAAAGACAAATATATAAAATTCAACTCATTTTACAGATTTATTTAGAATTTTATAAAATTACTAGCGGACGTACCCAGCTTCGCCCGAGGTTTTACCCGAGTAAAGGTTTGTCTAACGAACATTTGTTAAAACAATTCTCTATAAACTTATAAAAAAAAGAGATATATTTTGATAATTTGAAACTCGTAAATGTGAATCTCTCGATAAAGTGAACATTTTTTCCCGGTCCCTGTGTGCCGTGTCATCCTGAATTTTGTCTTTCATAATTTTCTACATTACAAAATCATCGTTTTATCTAGTGAACATATTTTCCCGGTTCCTTGATAAATACTCGATAAGTTGAATAAAATCATGGTCGTGAATCTCTCGATAAAGTGATCATGTGTGCCGTGTCATCCTGAATTTTGTCTTTCATAATTTTCTACATTACAAAATCATCGTTTTATCTAGTGAACATATTTTCCCGGTCCCTTGATAAATACTCGATAAGTTGAATAAAATCATGGTCGTGAATCTCCCGATAAAGTGATCATTTTTTCCCGGTCCCTGTGTGCCGTGTCATCCCGAATTTTGTATTTCCTCGATAAAGTGAACATTTTTTACCGTTCCCTGTGAGCCGTGTCATCGTGAATTTTGTCTTTCCTAATTCTATACATTACAAAATCATCGACACAGGATATCATTTAATGTTGTCTAAAGGGGGTTAAGAGAGCAGTCTCTTTCAAATGAAAAATGCTTTAATTAAGCAGATGTTTAAAGTATGTTGTTGTTGTTGTTTCTTATCCCCTTGTGTAAAGATTACACGAATTCCATGAGTTCAGTTTAAAGTATAATATATGAGAGAGGCAATCTTACAGGTTGTCGACGCTGTAAAATCCCCAGAGAGAGTGTTTTTGTAGCATCATGCTGTGACTCACACGATGACCCAAGGTCATCAGAAGCAGCAAACTAAGCCTATCTCCGTCTCAATGGCGGCGCTGCTTGCGAGTTAAATATACAAATCTGCAAATAACTCTAAGGATATTCAAGATATTCAAGAAATTATTTTTCGTAAACCTTTCCGGGGATACACCTAATAATATCCCAAATTTTCACGGCGATTGGATGTATGGTTTTTGAATCCATAGAGGACACACACAGACAGACAGACAGACATTCAATTTTATATATATAGACTAAATTCCATTGGAACGCTTTTATTTAGACATTAATTCTGTTTAGTATTGTTTTAATTGAATAATTCTCTAATATCTAGCATATTTTCATTCAAAAATATTCCTTAAAACTTTCTTCAATCTGTAAATTGCTTTTCTCGAATACACACAATACTTTACATTTTGATTTTATTTAACTAAATTTGCATACCAACTCTTTGTACATAATTCAATTGTGTTGATTTTTTCTCTTTTCATCTAACTAAATTACATACTAATTCTTGTACATATTTCAAATATCTTTCTTTCTTTTCTTTCTATGTTTATAAACACAAGGTAATAAGACCAAATCCAAATAAATAAATAGTGTGTGACGTTTCGGTAATATTCAAAACATGCTTTGGTAAAATTTCTCATTCAGTACTTTTGCCTAAAGATGGTAACAACGTTGTTACCGAAACATCACACACTATTTATTTATTTGGATTTGGTCTTATTACCTTGTGTTTATAATCTATAATCCTAATTGTGCCTTATCTTTCTATGTTTAGTTTACCTTTAAAGTGCAAGTGTCCCTAGTGGGACATAGTGCTCCAAGTCGAAATAAAATTTAAAAAATCAGCAACTTTTAGTTGCATAATCAGGGGATGTCTTTCTCGTAATTCCTCAACTTGATCCAAGTACAATATTTCATTCTCTTTTTTTACCATTAATTCACTTAAGGGAATGTTGAATTAAAGCCTGTCTCTCTCTCCCGAATTATACATCTGGTTATATTAAAGTTAATAATTGTATTTAGAAAATGTGGGGTTGAATTAAAAATAGTAATTTGAAAATGGTTTTTTTTTTTTAGAAAAAGTGGAAATATTTGAAATAAAATTTTAGAGATAAACACAAGGTAATAAGACCAAATAAATAAATAGTGTGTGACGTTTTGGTAACAGTGTTGTTACCATCTTCAGACAAAAGTACTAAATGAGAAATTTTACCACAGCATGTTTTAAATGGTTACTGTTATCAAGTGTGTAAACAAGATAGCATATAAGAAGATAGTTTTCTGAACAACACAGAATATTATTCTTAGAATTAAATATGGAAAACCCCCACTTTTTTCACACACTATTTATTTATTTGGATTTGGTGTTATTACCTTGTGTTTATAATCTACTAGGCGAATGACCCGGCTTCGCCCGAGAAATCCCTTGGGTGCAATTTCCTTCATACTAAAAGTATATCAATAATAAATATTAGAAGTGCCATAGAATAGCAATACAGAAGTAACACATAAACTACAGGAAAAAAGTGTGTGTGATGGCAAAAATTGTATTATAATAGTGTTTAGGTATTTGATTTAATTAATATAGTTGATATAATAATATATATTTATATTATATATAATATAAATGAGTTTTAAAAATTGTAAAAAAAAAATGCATCGGCCGGGAATCGAACCCGGGCCGCCCGCGTGGCAGGCGAGCATTCTACCACTGAACCACCGATGCTTAAAAAAAATGGCCATATTTAGGTATTCATTCCATTCCGGATTAGTTCGCGTAAAAAAAAGTTCTTCAAATGAAAAAAAGAAATAGCAAAAAATACTAATCAAAATGCAGCCGAAAATTTTCCTCAGGTTTATAAAAAGCGACATGCAAAATTTGGTACCAATTGGTTCAGTAGTTTTTGAGTTTATCGCGAAACAGACAGACAGACATTGACTTTTATATATATAGATATAATCTAAATTGTGCCTTATCAAAATTTTAGAGAGTTGATTATGAAGACAAGAGTGTCTTTTCTCATAAATCATCACCATGCTGAAGGGAGCAAAGAGTCCCAATATATGGTTGATTTGATAAAGCACAATTTGGATTCTAGATGCAAAAAAAAAATAGACTTAATCCAAAAAAAATTTCAGGTAATGGCTTAGCATCAACATTGATATTCTCTTTGGAATTATCATTTGATTAGGTCTTATTTTCTTTTATGGTTGGTTTCTTTGAGGAATAAGATGTTTGACCATTGTGGAGTACTGAATTGTAAAGATGTGTGTTCCAGGATCTGCGGTGTGAGTTGATCCACGGCAAAAACATGTTCGACCTCCATCCATTGGCTCAACAAACCCACACAATCATGGGCCCCAATGACACCTACCACATCAGCCTGTGTTGGCCACTGGCAGGGCTGACTGGTCTGTGTCCACCCAACTCTGCTGTCTGCCTTCAATCTGTAGATGGAACTGTTCTGGTCAGTACCTCGACTTTCTTCTGTACAGATTTATATGGTATTTGAACATACCGATACTGAAGCCTAGACTCTTGGGGAAGGGCTATTTTAAATGAACTATGGACATTAGCTTTGAGGACAGTAGAAAAACAATAGAACCTCCATGAGAGGACACCTCTCTATAAAGGACACTTTTCATTTTGTCAAAATTACCATTTTTACTATTTAGCAACTCACTGGTAAGAGTATACCTCTCCCTAAAGGACAATTTGGTTCTGCAATTAGGTGTCCTTTACAGGGAGGTTCTACTGTAGCAACTCTCCAGTAAGAGGACACCTCTCCCTAAAGCACACTTTGGCTCTGCAATTAGGTGTCTTTTACAGGAAGGTTCTACTGTATATATATATATATTTTTAAAATTATTCTCAGTACACGTGGTACAGGCCATGATAATCATGGTTATTAGAAGTTGGAGACTGCTTTTACTGTAAGTGCACCACATGTCTACACATGTGAAAAGCAGTTTTGACTTTCACACTTACAAATGTGTCAGAGCCCTGTTTGGTGACTTTCACTCGCTGGTGGGGTTGTACTTTTGCAAGAATCGGGGGCCATTGGAGCATTTTGTTTCCTAATTATAAAAAAGTGCCCAATGGGGTATTCAATTCCCGGGTTGTAGCAATCGAAAAACAACGGTTTAGACTATCCTTCCACCAACCCCCCCTGAGGTTTTATGAGGTTCAGATCTCCTGGCAATGTACCAGCTGTGCTTAGGTGGGATCCTCTAGTTCTTGTTTTGTTTTTGATTTAGCTACTGTTTCTATTCTTTAAAAGGCTCTCACCTATAAGCACAAGGTAATAAGACCAAATCCAAATAAATAGTGTGTGACGTTTCAGTAACAGTGTTGTTACCTCCTTTTGACAAAAGTACATTCAGTACTTTTGTCTGAAGATGGTAACAATGCTGTTACCTAAACATCACACACTATTTATTTGGTCTTATTACCTTGTGTTTATAATCTATAATCCAAATTGTGTCTTATCACTCTCATCTATAATTTTTATAATGGATTGACTAAATCTAAGAATGAGGTTAAATTTTGTCTATTTGTTCCAGGACTATGGCTCAGTGGTATCCCAGAAACCATTGGAAGACTATGAAACCAAGGCTGTGGTGTACAAGACATCCACTCCATGCAACCAACAATCCAACCTGGGGAGAGGAGCCCACATAGAGTTCCTATGTAACCCACATGCTGGCATTGTACGTATGATTTATTTTTACCTTTGTTAAATGTGAAATTTTAAATATCTTCTTTGTACATCATGTTATATTTAGGCTATTCATTTATACACAAGGTAATAAGACCAAATCCAAATAAATTAATAGTGTGTGACATTTCAGCGTTGTTACCATCTTCAGACAAAAGTACTGAATGAGAAATTTTACCACAGCATAAAC